GGTTTAATTAAGATGAATTTAGAGTCAAAACGAGTTTGACTTCTCAGTGTGGATGAAAGGCAGATCACTTCTGGTTATGCAAGAAAATGCCTCAAGTGAGTGTTCAGACAACAGCTCCACTTGCCTGTGTTTATAGTACAATCCAATGCAATCCTTCCTGCTTTTAACTGTGCAACAGGGATTTTGGAATTGAGTGTTGCCACAGACACCCATCAGTTCAGCCAACAAAAGCCTGGAACTCTGTAGCAGAGTCAGCCTTGGTGAACTAACACCCCAAAGGACTTGGGAGCATTAATGCAACACCCATCAGAGACAGGAGGAAAGTCCAGGATCACACACTGAGTTTTCCAAGACACTGCATGCACTAAAACACTTCTTATTCCAGAGGCAGAACTTCAGTCCTGTTTAAATGCAGGAATAGTATCTGGTAAATGCTTCATAAACATGAAAAGCAGCTTTGTGTCTTCTCTGTATCTAATATTTAAACAACCATTAATATGCCCACTGGTAACGAGGCCAGGAATGCAGGAGACCCACAGCAACTCTTATTTTCCCCCTCATTTAACAGACCTGCAAACATGCCAAGTGTGGAACACCTTCAAATTCCAAGGAACAAAAGCAGTCCTGTGGCTCCCAGTAAAGCACACAGACACTTCTGGCAGCTTCAGAGGGAGCTGGGAGGAACAACTATTCCTCATTGGATCCATTCATGCATCAAACACCATAAAGCTGCTGTGGGTGCCCCCTCCCTGCAGTACCTCAGCAGCTTGTGTTCATGGTATGAGACCAAACTGAAACATGGATTTTAGGGGAATGGTTGTGAGAATTCAACCCTGCCCTGACTCAGTAACATCAAGTGCCAATAAGGGCATGTGCTCTTCAACAGGAGCTTTTGATTTAGTCTCAAATCAGACCAAACTGCTCAGCCTGCACTGCTTGGAAGAATCCAGCACCCAAAAGGTGACGAAAAGATGAGGGTTAAACTCTGACAGACAGTATTTGGTAAATCCTAAATAGTTATTTCACTATAAGTTTATCAGAGAATTATTTTTTTATAAAAATATATTACTATGAGCACTGAAGTGCTCAGAAAAGGAAGCAGATACTTGATAAAGAATTCCAGTCCCACTGAGCTACTGCAAATTCACAAGGACTGTAAAAACTACTAGATTAAAAACATCTACAAGGTCACCCAAGGCAGAACAAACAGGAGGGTGGGAAACATTTTATTTTTTGCACTATTCTATATCCAGAGAGACCTGACCAGGGTTAAAAGCTTCTGTGGTTTGTGGCATTTCAGAGCACAGGGATGATCCAGCACAGTGGGAAGGAGAGGAGCTGTGCCAGGAGGGCAACTCTATTTGTGGTAGAGGTCAGCAACAACAAAAAAACCCCCAAAACTATTTTCTGACTTACCGGGCCCATTCCTTGGCTTTTAATCAGAGTAGAGTTGTTACAAACTAATTAGTTCATCTATCTAATTTAAACTGCTCAAACCCCCAGAGAACAAGGTTTAATCCCGTTCTTTCCCAGGTCATCATCAACACTTGAGTAAATTTAATTTACAGATCAATAACCAGCACAATTCACAATTTATACTGTCAGTTTTAAGCAATAAACAAGATAAATAATAATAAACAACTCGTAGATAAGAAATTATCACCTCAAGTGTTCACTGTGAAGAGAGATGGTCACATTTACCATTTTATTACCCACACAGGTTATACCTTAACAATTTTGTTTTCCCAGTATACATTAGTTTTACCTTTAAACAAAAAGTATAACCAAAGCTAAGAAACCTGTGCTTGTTACAGTTGGACCCACAGTGAATTACAGAAACCCCATTTCCTGTCATCTGACTGCTACTGATTCTCACTGTTAATCACCAGCAGTGATTAATGTAGAAAAAAAATGATTCAGCAGAAATTTTTAAAATATTATATTTAATATTTTAATATTTAAAATTAACCCTAAAATGGACAAAATCTAAAAAAACACAGACTAAAATATGTTCATTTCATATCCAAACAGCAATTGGGCATTAAGATTCAGAAATTTGCTCAAGGAACTCAGTTATAGTCTAAATAAGGAGGGTAATTTTTACTGGCATTTAGTTCAATTTCATGCCATCAGGGCTGCTCTCTGCAAACAATTACAAATTACACTGAGGGAAAAAAAATATTCAGTGTCAGTTGGTACAGAGAGGAACCTTGGACACACCTGACTAATGAAAAAACAGTGACAGGTGTGATATTAACTAATAAAAAGAGCTTCTTTCTCCCCTTGTACATGGCAAAAATGTTAAATTTGTCTATTCACATACGCACTGAAGTAATTTAAGTCCTGTGCCAGTTAACTCTTAATGAATATTAATTCTTCTTAACTGACACTGATATTAAAAATTACCCCATTCAAATGAAATTAGCATTAATTTCCTAATTAAAGCTGATTTCCAAGACAAGCCATCTATATTTAGAACCCTGCCTTTCCACAGACACAGGAAGAACACTGGCTGCCTTGTCTAAAAATGTCCTAAGATTCCACATTTTAAGGTGTCAGCCTGACTTGAAATCTCGGATTTTTGGCATAAATTCTGAATCTGGCAATCCACAGAGACTCTTACCTTCCTTTTTTTTTTAATGGATAACTGAGTGATATGTCAAAGTTCAAAAAAAATTCCCCATGGAAAGCGAGTTGCAGGCTGTCAGTGCAGGTTGCCATGGCAACAGCCACCATGACTACACAGGCTCTAACCTTATTTAATGAATAAAGTGGAAAAAATAGCACAGATACTATAATGAAAATCCCTGTACTGTAAATATTACTGAAAAAAAACCACCAAATAGAACCAAAAACTACCCTCCTCTACCTCAGATTTTTATCATCAGCCCATACCTGGAAAAAAAGCCCTCAGTGTACCATAAAAACTTATTTATCATGTTTTAGGAATGGTGTAACTCTGCTTCTCTTGTGCCTTGAGTATCCTCTGGTTTACACAAAAGGTAAAACACTGAAAATGGGCTTTTTGTATCAAAGGATAATAAAGGGTGTGATCTGTGTGGAGCAGTAGCAGCAAACAGAACAAGACAATAAAATACAGCAAGGAAAGAGGTGGTGAGGAAAAAGATGGATTCTACCATGAGAGTCTAAAAATAGAATCCCTTCAAACCGAGCAGGGGTGGGAGGAGGGATTTTCAGAACCAACAGCTCCATCTAGAGTTAAACAGCAAGGGATGTTAAAGCAAGCTGACAGGTAAAGAAGGGTCTTGAGAATTCTTAAAGACACCCTCCAAAACATTCTGTAACCTCTCAATTGAAATTAAAAATTGGCTCTAAAATACATCATCCAAAACTCACCTGATCTGAGAAAATAAAAAAGTTGCATTAAAAACGAACCCAAGACAAAAATGGAAAATAGCCATAAATATCAAAACATTTTCATCCATCCCTTGGGCTCCCTGCAGCTCAGTGACATTCCCACTGCACTCCCAGGTTTGGGGAGGTCAGGACATTCTGCTCAGTTTTCAGGGTGACAAAGGATTTTACCCCCACAGAAGGAATCAGGCTCCCTGCAGCACTGCCCAGAAAATTCACACCCACATTCAGCACTGATGGGATGGTCCATCAGCAGCACAACTCCCTGCACGTGCCCCAAAAATTCACACTTATTTAAAGTTTCCCACTGATTTTTGCAGAGCCAGGATGCCCCTGGCCAAGCTGTTTGCTCCAGAGGAAACTATTTTGCATTGCACCTTTCAAAGTAATTCATTATAATCACATTTTAAGTCTGTTTGTCCTCCAGTTCCTCCCAAGTTGCATCTTACCCTGCAGCCTGTATGTCCAACATGAAATAAAGAAGCAGCAGCTGAAAACAACTTTTTTATTTGCTCTGAAGGCGTGTTTTTAAATGAAAAAGTACCCCAAGAAATAGAAACAAAACCCTGATTTCCCACAGAGTCAATTTTGTGTACTAAATTAACCAGAGGAGTGGCACCAGCACATGGAGTTTACTAAATATTTAGAGGTTATTGAAGAACTTCTTTCAGAAAATAAACAGAAACTTCCTCTAGGAAAATAACAGATTTCTCAGGGTTTGTAAATATTTTGCAGCCCAAGGTAAGCAACTTCACCTTAAAAACCCAACACAGAAGAAAGTGGCTACAAATCAACACATAAATCTCTTTACTGGAAAGTTTAACAGCATTTTCTGTGCAAAGCCACCTTCTCTTTACCCAAGTCCAGTTTTGAAGCAATTCCTGGATGGGAAGGAGTTGGCAGAACATGCACTGATAACTGTCCATCCAAAGAAGGAAAGTTTTACCCTCACTCTTTCTTTGTTGAGAGAACAAAACCCTGAAGGATTTTTTTTTATAACTCCCAACAATCTCCCTATTTGCCCTTGCAAAAAGTGATAGTTGGAAGCAACTGAATTGGACTTTGTGTTTTTTCCAGGCATCATTTCCTCAGAGTGATTGCTTTGAGCTTCTAGAAATTGGCAATTTAATAGAGAAAATTATTAACCCATTCTTTTAAAGACACCAAAATACTTCAAAAATGATTTCCAGGTGGTGGAGACTACAGGCCTTGGCTGAAGTGTGTATTTAGGTTTTTTAAAATCAGGGAGAAAACATTTAAACACAGTTCCCATACAATTGATTCAAGTACAGGCTGAACAAGCATTTCAAGAAGTTCTTCAGTGTGCTTCTTAAAGAAGTTTTGATGAATTAAAACCCCAAATAAAGGCTTTTTCTTCAATTTCACAACAAATGAGGATGTTTAGGACATACAGTGATTAACTCTGTGACACTGGAAATCAAAACTGGGTGATGACATATGTTATTTTTCAAGCTTAAAGAATGTATCTCCTTACCTCCAAAACTGGCTGAAAGCACTTGTTACATTACTGACACATGAATCCACTTGTCACTTTTTATTAAAAATGCTGCTGTAAATAATTTTGGTAAGAAAAAAAAAAAAAAGGAGACCACAAAAATACTTACATTGCATTGACTTTATCTTCTGGGCCCTGAACTTGGCCTGTCACGGTTCCTTGGCTGGTATTTTTAACCCAGCCAACCACTCCTAATTTCCTGGCTTCTTCTTCTGTGTACTGGTTTGGGAAATAATGAGAGAGGACAATCAGTGCCAGCACTACACTTTCATTTTTTTCACAGCTGTCACTGTGGAAAAAGCACTACACTTCATAAAAATCCACGGGTGACCCTCATGCTCAGGCATTCAGATATTCCTGTCAGCTCTGGAGTTGCAGCAGGAGCAGCCAATTCTCAAAAAAGAAGGAGATTTTGATCACAAAGAACTCTGCTAATCCCACAGCATTCCCTTGTACCTACTTCATTCCTTTCCATAGCTCCTATCACTGCTCATTTCCCTACTCAACCACCCCAGTGTCTGAACTCATTAAATTAGCTACACTTACAAATTTCATAGTTCTTTTCCTCCAGTTTCCTTTTAAATCCTTTTCCACCTGACTTTCACCCTTTAAATCTTACCCCCAACTGCTGTGTTTCTAAACAGCACTAAAGGAAATCCAGTTATATTGGTTTTCTAGTATTTTTGCCATACCACAACAAATTCTGGTTTCCCAGCCACTCACTCCTTGTAATGAAACCCACAATTTCCAAGCACCCTATTTCTTGAGGGTTTTTCTTTTCCATTTTTTTTCAAATACATATAAGATATAAACATAATTAGTCTCTCAACACTGAAATGGTAGGGAACAGAAAGCCTCTTTTGTAGAAATCCATTTAAGTTTTTGTTCAATGTAGGACAATAGAAACACGAAGCCATAACACAACTTTATTAATAAATTTATTTGCATTAAAGGCACCTCCTCTTTGTACACTGAAGAGGTATAATATAACCTGGCCCACGGTTTTTATCTTGTATTATAGAACAACCTGATATCTCCAACAAGATTTGACAATTTTCAGTATATTTTGGTGAGAAACAGCCACCAAACATATTAGAATGTGTCCCCAGTGCACACTGCATTATCAGCCTCTTGAGACACTTATTCTAGTGTCAAAAGGCAAACTTCATGTTAATATGACTCCACTTCAAAAGAGAAAATATGTTTTGGGGAGATTTAGCCAAGGGAAAAAAAAGCATTGCTAACTGTAAAGAGTGTTTTCCAAGAGGACTATGAGGCAAAGCAAGCTTAGACTTAGTTTCCCACTTGATAGAATAATTAATTCAAGACGTATCTACTGTAATCCTCTATTCATTTCCATTTGGCACCACTTCACAATACACAGAATCTACAAAAAAAATTTTTTTGTTTAATATTAAGCATCGTCCACTATTTTCAGACCAAAAACTGCTCTTATTTGAAATGTGTCCTATTGTTTCCTGGGTTTCTGTGAAGTGTAAAACTACCTGCTGCGTGTTCAGAGCTGCTGGAGACACTTCCCTGGGGTGTGAGCCACAGAGTGTTTATTTGTAGTGTGTGTCCTTGGAAAGATGTGCTAAGTCTCCTTAAATACAGGTACTAAATAACCACTTTAAAAAATTAAACTGGAAATCCTTGTTTCAGGAGCCAATATCAAAAACTTCAGATTTAACCTCTCCAAAGATCAATGTGTTGCAAAATTTTTTGTTGCTGTTACAAGTAATGCAAACACATTCTTTAGGTACTACACAAACTACACATTAATAAGCTTTAAAAAACCCATTTTAATATAAAACCGTTTTCCTCCTTTTAGATCAACTCGCAGTACTTGAACATCTAACCCAGAACTCAAAGTTCAGCTTGGATATATTTACACTGTACAGACCTGCTGCCGTATTTTTAGCACTGGAAATATTACACTGTAAAGTACAGCTGGTAAATCCAGTATTGCCTTACCATCCTGAAACAAACACCTAGAACAGAAAGAAAATAAGTATTAAGATAATAAAAGTATTGAAGTAATTCGAAAGCATGGCACTAGCAGGAATTTCGCTTGATACAGAAGGGCAGTAAGCTGCATACAAGTCATTTGTGGCGTTTCATCACACTACCATAGTTATTCGTGGTATTTTATCAATTTCAGAACAGTTGCGAAATTAACATTACACGAACTGTACGGAATTTAGGAACACGCTGGCCTTCGGCAAACGATTGTCTCCATTGATACTTTAATGTTAATGAAAACGCTGCAGTGTGTGAATGGGGGGGGGGGGGGGGGGGGGCTTTCCCACACAGCCGCGCCGACAAGAAGCCATGAGCGCAAACGCGATTATTGGGAACTGCTCCGAATAGAACCGCCTGTGCTTTCGGGGGAGCCGAGCTTTAGAGTTAGGGAGCACTTAAAATTTTTTATTCCTTTTTAATTTTTTTATTTTATTGTTTTACGCTTTCCCGTCCCCCAGCGACGAGTCGGGGCTGCCGCTCCCGCCTCTCCCCTCACGACGTTCCCGCCTCTCCCCTCAGGGCGCTCGAGCCTCGCGCATGCGCGGTCCCCACCGCCGCCGCCTCACCGCGGAGCCCCTCGCCCCCTCAGCGCACCTCACCTCAGCCCGCCATTACCTTGCACTCGCCCGAACACTTCGTAATCCACCGACTTGAGCGCGCCGGAGGCTTTGGCCAGGGCGGACATGGCAGCGCCGGAGGAAGAGCCGCTGCGGCGGGTGCCCGGTGCTCCGCGGGCCGGCGGCGCCCGGACGGGAGCGCGCGAGGCTCAACCTTCCCGCGTCAGCGGCCGCCTCACGGGAATGTGAGGGAGGGAGTCAGGGCACCCCCGAACCGAGCCCTGACAGGGAGGGAGACACTGGCCCCTCCGTGAGGGGAGAACACCTAACAGCGAGGAGTGACAGCGCTCGTCCCGTGAATGGAGGGAGAACACCTCACGGGTGACAGCGCTCGTCCTGTGAATGGAGGGAGAACCCCTCACGGACCGAGGGCATGAGGGTCCCGGCGCCGCAGCCCTGAGGGGCAGCCACAGCCCCCGAGCGCCCCGTCGGCAGCACAAGCGGCCACAGCGTGTCCTTCAGAGCCCTCATATGTTATTCTCGCTTCTGTTTGAAATTAGAAATACCTTGAGAGAACAGTCTTAACATCACCACCTCCAATTCCAGGGCTGACGCTGCCGCGTATTCACTCACCTGAAGCTACCCCCTCAAGCATCCAGCACACAGGTAAACAGAATTAAGCTTTTTCAGGGATTTACAGGAATCATCCAGACAAAGTGTTCTCCATACATGGCTGAATCGAGGTAATTTTGCCTGATCATGTGGAAAGTTACATAGTTGAAAACTAAAACACAGCAAAAAAAACCCCTGAGTTTATCTTTGGCATCCATCCCCATCAAAGCTGCGTGACAGACTTCTCTCACATCTCCACACGACTTCACCCTTCAGCCAGAGATTTATCACCCCATTTCTATTCCCTTTTCAGTCCTTGTGCTGGAGCAGCAGATCTTTGAGGCAGGAAACTCACCTCATGCGAACTATTTACCCAACTTCCAGTTTTCATTAGCAAACCTTTCCAGAAGTGCCACCACATAATTTCTTTTATCTATATGCCACATGTGCAAAAGCACAGTCAAAAATTGGCTGTTTGGTAAGCTGAGTCTGCAACCAAACACCACAAAGGTTTTTCTCCAGAGTGTTCTATGTCTGCTTGTAGTTTGACTCTTCCCCCCCATACTTACTTTAAAAAAAAAAAAGTGTTTTCAGGCAGAATTTTACACTAGAAACAGCATTTAACCAACCTGAGAAGATAAACTCGATCTTCTCTTACTCAGCAGGTAAAGGCAGGTTAACTGACTTTACAATACAAATCAAACTAATTTTATTTGCTTTCCCCATTAAGCAACTCCCTTCCACATACAACATTTTGTCCTACAGCAATGCAGCAGAACCCAAACTGTTCACAGGTTTGGATCCCAACACTAGAGGGAGTTTCTAGGATCCCTAATTTAATAACCCATACTTTAGCATTGCCATATTATTCCCACATCAGAGGAAAACACTGATTTCCAACACGAAACAAAGCAGCAGAAACTGAAAACAACTTATTTGCTCTGAGTGTTTTTAAATGAAAGAGTATCCCAGCAAATGGGAACCAAACTCTGATTTTCCACAGAGTCAATTTTGTGTACTAAATTAACCAGAGGAGTGGCACCAGCACATGGAGTTTACTAAATGTTTAGAGGTTATTGACAAAGTTCTTTCAGAAAATAGAAAATTCCTCTGGGAAAATAACAGATTTCTCAGGATTTGTAAATATTTGGCAGCCCAAGGTAAGCAACTTCACTTTAAAAACCCAACACAGAAGAAAGTGACTACAAATCACACATAAATCTCTTTACTGGAAAGTTTAACAGCATTTTCTGTGCAAAGCCACCTTCTCTTTACCCAAGTCCAGTTTTGAAGCAATTCCTGGATGGGAAGGAGTTGGCAGAACATGCACTGATAACTGTCCATCCAAAGAAGGAAAGTTTTACCCTCACTCTTTCTTTGTTGAGAGAACAAAACCCTGAAGGATTTTTTTTATAACTCCCAACAATCTCCCTATTTGCCCTTGCAAAAAGTGATAGTTGGAAGCAACTAAATTGCGATCTGTATTTTTTCCAGGTATCATTTCCTCAGAGAAACAGCATTTAACCACCCTGAGAAGATAAACTCAACATTCTCCTACTCTGCAGGTAAAGGTAAGTTAACTGCAAACCTCACAATAAAAATCAAAATAATAATTTTATTTGCTTTCCCCATTAAGCAATTCCCTTCTACATAAAAAAAAATTCTGTCCTACAGCAATGCAGCAGAACCCAAACCATTCACAGGTTTGGATCTCAACACTAGTGGGAGGTTAAAAGTTACATAAAGCCCTAGAGGAATAATAAAATTACTTTTTCAAGACACACCAGTTAACCAGATAAACAACCACCCAATTCAGCACAGAACACAAATATTCACATAAATCAGAAAACTTCCAGTATCGCAGCAAATAGGAACACAACAGACCAAGTTCTATCACTAACTACATGACACATTAAACCCCTGCCTTTTACAGGGACCATACATTTTACTACTGTGGAATCAGCACCATTTTGTTTTGAAAGAGGAGGATTTGACAGAAAGAAGAACAGGACACAGGACAAGCAGAAAATGCTTTGTAACTTGCTGCCATCTGGCAGCAGTGAGGAGCAAGACAGGTAAAAAAAACAGATTTACAATAGCAGCCTAATTATACCACAAAGCCACACTCTGTCTTGTCTCAGAAAAGTCAGTTTAAGAGGTTTTTTTATCTGTCATAAGAACATCTCACCACCTTTCCCCCAGACAAGCTCCTGTCTCTCGTTATTTCGTGGCAAGCAGCAGAGCCTGAAGAGCTCCAGAAGATGAGACGTGTAAACATTTCATATTTTACAGCCAAAGTAATCAATATTAGAAATCAAACACTACTCAAACGCCTTAATTAGCACAAAAGCTTTAGCACACACTACCAAGAAATGCACACAGTCTGCATGAAGCTTTGAACTCCCTTCCTACTTCCAGGTGTTTATTCTGAAGTGGCAACATTGGCCTAAGGAGGATCAGTTGGTTCCAATTCCTAAAGCTACTGCCAACTGTAAGAGTCCTGAACAGCTCCAGCTGTTGAGGCACAGGACATACTCTGATTATGCTGCAGAGGAAGGCAAACAACTATGAACCTGCAACAAACAAGCTGTATTTTGGGATGGACAGAATTTGTGCTGCAACAACACACGGAGATACAATCCCAGAGTCTCAGAGTGCTGCCAACTTCCCTGTTGCCACTTACTGGGTTCAGGTTGCTACTCAGTAAATCAGGGTAAGTTATTTGTTACTAAAGCAAAGCAGCAACAGTCACAATCAATCTGAGTGAGAAATTCCAGGCTGCAGTGAATTCCAGCAATATTGTGGTGCTAATTTGCCCAGGCCTTTGCTACACTCACAGCAATTGCTTCTTTAAGATTCCTCTCTCATTTCACCTCAACGATTTCAGTTTTTCTGTTCTGATCACTTAGTAATTCAGGTCTGGGCTAACCAGCATTTACTCTCCTGCCTCCTGCAGAAGACACTGCTTTGCATTCTCACCTCTGATACACAGATTGACTTTCACTCCCAGCACAGCATTATCAAGGAACAGCTACTGCTACAACCTCAGCTGGTACACAAGGGTTCCTCTGTTCTGGGAGCTGCCTAGAACAGGCATTTCCCTGGCAAGTTTTTTTTACAACTGGGAAAACTCCATTATAGGCAAAGCCAATTTCACCACTGGGCACTCTGCTCCTCCTCTGAGCATTAAACCTTTAAAAAATTCCTTCCAAAGCACAGATATATTTTCCCACAATGTTGGTTTTAGCCATTACATTAAAAAAGGACATAACAAGAAATATTATTATTGGAAAACACCATAAACCTCTAATAGTGCCATTGCAGCCAAACATTAGGGAATACCACAAACACAGCAATGCAAGGGGCAACCTCAGCACAGCAGTAACAACAGTCTCACAGTCCCTGGGCAGACAGAGCCAGGGGGTGGCAGCAGAATCCCTCCAGGAGCAGAAGGCTGGGCTGGAAACACAGCTACAACTTACAGGTAAGGTCCAGCCAAGAGGAAAAGCTGAGACCAGCACCAAAGACAAGCCTGCCTGGGACTTGTAAGGAACAGCTCTGCTCAGCTCTGAGCTTAAATACAGCTCCTGCACCAAGGGGCAGAGGGGGTGTGGTGAGGCCCCAGGTGAGGCTGGTTGGGTCCAGATGAGGCTGGTTGGGTCCAGATGAGGCTGGTTGGGTCCAGATGAGGTTGGTTGGGCCCCAGGTGAGGCTGGTTGGGTCCAGGTGAGGCTGGTTGGGCCCCAGGTGAGGCTGGTTGGGGAGATCAGACATATCAGCACCCTTGACACCGGCCACTGCCAATAAAAAATAATTTGATAAGAGAATCTGCCCATGATGGCGTTTCTGCTGCCTTTTAGTGTAAGAGTGTCTTGGTTTATCTGAACCAACTGTGTATCTGAACCAAACTCTACACCCGAGTCACTTTGCAAATGGTCCCCAGGTGATTTTGGTGAGTGTTTTCCCAAAGGACACCAAGGCCTCTGAATAAAAGAAGCCACTGCTGCCCTTGCCAGGTTTTTGCTGTCACTTAGGGAGCATGGAATATCTGGAAAGAAGGTTAGGAGCTATGCAAGCTTAGCTTGGCCTTTTCACCTTCTTTTTTTTCTACTTCTTTTTTACGGGCTGTATTGCACATCAGTTTTTATTTTCTTTCCTTGAAGATAATGCACTCCCTTTCTCTGGTGTTTTCTTTTTCAAGCAAAATTACAAACTTCTTCCCTTCCTCTTTTCCTTGTTCCCATATGGTGTTTTCCTCTCCTAAGATGCATTTTCTCCCATAACTTTATTTCTGAATGGAAGTTAATAGGATTGCTGACTCTGCTTCAAAGCTGTACAAGCTTCTTCAGGGCCTTTTTCTCAGTCCTTATTTACATCACATCTAAACACACTGAAAACCCTTTGAAGGCTTAACCTCCCAATTATTTTTTTTTTCTGTAGTTCACTGCTTATCAGTAACTTTCTTCTTTCCAGCACTAAAGATAAGGTTTGGAAGCCTGAAGTGCAAGGCAAACTCACAGAGGGCTTCTTAGAGAGCTTTAGTCTGCCTTCTTCAGCCTAAGATATAAAACAATGGTTTGTTGCAGGATTACTGAAT